TCTCAATTTTTTGATAACTCATGTTTAGTTAACTATGAAGTCTTGGAGATAAAGACTGTAACTGCTTTTCATTCCGTCTACTGCTGAGCTTGAAACGGGAATCCTTAACATACAAGATCTGCTAAAGAATCAAGCTAAGATCTAATTTCAGAAACATCACAAGGCTGCCTGGAGATTTTAAGGAAATGACATAAGACCTGAAAAAATAATTTTATTTATTGGACTTTTTATATAAACATTTTAATTATTTCCCATAACGTGTATGATGGGAAAACTTTGTTAAAAGAAAAAATGTATCATAGACACATGATGAAAATTTCTTTACTGTTTTAAACTGATTCTTGACATTTGTAACTTTTTAAGTGATGTTTCCAAGTAAAAACTAGTGTTATGGAGTTTTATGCACTCAAACTTCCCCAGTTTCAGCTGTTTTGTTTTGTTTCTCCAGTACTAGACATTGAACTCAGGACCTTACAATTGTAAGGCAGGCATGGTGCCACTGAATCAAATCCTTGACCCTGCGCCAGCTATTTTAAACTCACGCAAACATCCAAGTTGTCATTAATACTTTGTTGGGTGAAATATCACCGTAGTGATATTTTGAAAATTGCATTTCCCAATCTTTATCCCTCTGTATGGATCTAAATATTTAGACATCATTCTGGTATAATGATGCTGTGGCTGCTATCAACACTGTCATGTGTTGCAAGTGCCATCAGACATATCATATTATTGTTTTCTTTTAATTTTAAGAAATGACTTATAGGCCCAGCGTGGTGGTGCACACCTATAGTCTGAGCACTTGGGAGGTTGAAGCTGAAGGATTGCAATGAGTTCAAAGTCAGCCTTGGCTACATAGTGAGACCATGACTCAAAACAAAAACAAAACAAACTATAATCCTTTCCTCACAGAGAAACATTTTCTGGCTTTGCACCTTTCTGTTTGTGTTTTTTTCCCCCAGAGATTAAATTCAGAGAGCACTGAGTGGCTACATCCCCATCTCTGATTTTTTAAATGAAATAAACAGAAATTTATGCAACACAGGCTGATAATCAAAATACATCATTAGTTTGATATGATTTTCAAACATTATATGTTCTTTCTTATTTTCTTTGCATATAATATTTTTGAAATCAGGTAATTACAAATAAAACTAAGTGATATAGTTGAGAAACTGTCCTCAAAATTTTGATTTATAAACTCCTTGGTTTTATTAATTGATAAATATCATATGCTCATTGATCATACCCCTTATATTTTCTTAAAAATCTTCCCCCAGGAAAAAAATATACTTATATTTGAAATCCAAAAGCAACTAAAGGAATTCACATTTTTAAGATCAGATTTTTCTGTTTCTATTTAATTATATCCCATACTTATTTTTAATTTTATAAGCATCATGATAGAATTTAACACCAATACATATGTAATATTCTTCCCAAACAAATGACTATGAATTAAATCAAACATGTAACTTAGAGAAATCATAAGGTTGCCAGAGAAACTATCAATATGCCAAATGTGCACCATCCTACCACATTCATGACCATGTTTCTCATTTAATAGTGCACACATTTGTATAAATACAAACCCCCACACATATACACAATGCGTATTTTCTACTATATGATTTATACTTTGATATAATAAAACAGTGCAGTGCTGTGTGGAAAGTTTGTGATTTGTGTGACTTGAGAAAAACCAAATATCATCTTTTAAGGATTGGGAGAATTTGTAATATGTACCAGCTACTAAATGATATTAAAGCTTTATTATCCATTTATTTAAGTATAGTTATGATAAAATTTACTTAAAATTGATATCCATTTTCCGTGGAAAATAGGTACAAAGAAATATTGAAAACATAACAAGATTTTTCTTAACAAATTTCCAACCAAACAAGCTATAGTGACAGAAAAGGAAGTTTGTAGAAAGCAGAGATGAAAGAGGAAAATGACAGATGAACCTTAATACTTTTCATACCATTCATATATACAGATTTCATAAATTCTCAAATAAAAAAAACAAAGAATGAGAACCACAATAACTCATCAGCTTGGTAGACCAACATATAAAGACAAAGATTAATGCGTTGATAAATTTTAAAAATATGAAATGTAAAGCCTGAGATTTAGCTCGGTAGTACTGCACCTGCCTCACCAGAACAATGTGCTGAGTTTAATCCCCAGCACCAGGCCAAGAAAAAGAAGAAAGAAAAAAAAGAAGAAAAGAGAAAAGAAGCATATGTACTTTCTAGCATATTCAATAGATTAAAAATAAATTATTTGTTATCTCTTCCTCTTGAATTGTTCCCTTCATAAGAATGTAGTGTCCTTCTTTTTCTCTTTCCATCGGTTTAGTTTTGAAACTTACTTTGTCTGTGAATAAGATTGCTACCCCTGCTTTTTTCTGGGCTCCTGTTACATGAAGGAGTTTTCTGTCCTTTCACTTTCAGTCTATGAGCTGCTTTTTGCACTAGATGTGTCTTGTATACAACATAATATTGGATTTTGCTTCTTAATCCATTCTGCCAGTCTATTTCTCTTGATTGGTGAATTGAGGCCATTGATATTGATGGGTATAACTGATATGTACTAACTTATTATTGTCATTTTTTTCACCTCCTTTTAGTTTTGTATCTTACCTACTTGATTTGCTGTGTTGGGCTTCCTTGTGTTGTTACCCTCATTGTCTTTTTCTAGGATATTGTTTATAATTTGTTTTATTGCTGATTTGGTATTCATGAAGTTTCTCAGGTATTCTTTATCATGCAAATATCATATTTCCCCATCTATTTTGAAAGAAAGTTTTGCAGGATACATCAGCCTAGGTTGGAGATTGCTTTCTTTTAGTATTTGAAATGTCTCATTCCAGGCTCTCCTTAACCTAAGAGTTTGTGTTGAAAAGTCTGCCGTGATTCTGATGGGCTTTCCTCTGCATGTAATTTGTTTCTTATCTATTACTGCTTGTAGTATTTTGTTCTTCTGTTGGGTTTCTGGGATCTTGATTGTTATCTGTCTAG